CCCCAACTCCCATTATCTATCCTCCATCTCTGCCCCATAACCCCCAGACCTGTGCCCCTTACACCCCCTGCACAGGCTCCTCAGCCCCCAACTCCCATTATCTATCCTCCATCTCTGCCCCATAACCCCCAGACCTGTGCCCCTTACACCCCCTGGACAGGCTCCTCAGCCCCCAACTCCCATTATCTATCCTCCATCTCTGCCCCATAACCCCCAGATCTGTGCCCCTTACACCCCTGCACAGGCTCCTCAGCCCCCAACTCCCATTATCTATCCTCCATCTCTGCCCCATAACCCCCAGATCTGTGCCCCTTACACCCCTGCACAGGCTCCTCAGCCCCCAACTCCCATTATCTATCCTCCACCTCTGCCCCATAACCCCCAGATCTGTGCCCCTTACACCCCTGCACAGGCTCCTCAGCCCCCAACTCCCATTATCTATCCTCCATCTCTGCCCCATAACCCCCAGACCTGTGCCCCTTACACCCCCTGCACAGGCTCCTCAGCCCCCAGCTCCATTGTCTCCTCCATCTCTGCCCCATAACCCCCAGATCTGTGCCCCTTACACCCCTGCACAGGCTCCTCAGCCCCCAGCTCCCATTATCTATCCTCCATCTCTGCCCCATAACCCCCAGACTGTGTTTGGTTGTTTTTTTTTTGTGTTGTGTTTGTCATTATCTATCCTCCATCTCTGCCCCATAACCCCCAGATCTGTGCCCCTTACACCCCTGCACAGGCTCCTCAGCCCCCAACTCCCATTATCTATCCTCCATCTCTGCCCCATAACCCCCAGATCTGTGCCCCTTACACCCCTGCACAGGCTCCTCAGCCCCCAACTCCCATTATCTATCCTCCACCTCTGCCCCATAACCCCCAGATCTGTGCCCCGTACACCCCTGCACAGGCTCCTCAACCCCAACTCCCATTATCTATCCCCCACCTCTGCCCCATAACCCCCAGACCTGTGCCCCTTGCACCCCTGCACAGGCTCCTCAGCCCCCAACTCCCATTATCTATCCTCCACCTCTGCCCCATAACCCCCAGATCTGTGCCCCGTACACCCCTGCACAGGCTCCTCATTACACCCCTGCACAGGCTCCTCAGCCCCCAACTCCCATTATCTATCCTCCATCTCTGCCCCATAACCCCCAGATCTGTGCCCCTTACACCCCTGCACAGGCTCCTCAGCCCCCAACTCCCATTATCTATCCTCCATCTCTGCCCCATAATCTCTGCCCCATAACCCCCAGATCTGTGCCCCTTACACCCCTGCACAGGCTCCTCAGCCCCCAACTCCCATTATCTATCCTCCACCTCTGCCCCATAAATCTATCCTCCACCTCTGCCCCATAACCCCCAGATCTTTACCCCAAGGCTTCCCCAACCCCTTCAGTCCACCCTTACCTGTAAGATTTGCCCCCCTGGGTCCCCTCCAAGATCTGCCCCCACAAGCCCAGTCCTGCCCCCCCCCCCCCCCCGTACCGGCCAGCTGAGCGCCGCGGCGGTGCCGGTCCTGCAGCGCGGCGCTGACGCGGGCGCTGGAGGTGCTGATGGCGGCCATGTTGGCGGCCAGGTCGTCCATCTCGGCCTCCATGTGCCGGAAATCCACCTTCATCTTGCGGATGGTGTCTGGGGAGCAGGGGCCGCACGTGGGGTCCCTCGGCTGCCCGTGCCCCCCCCCGGTGCCATGCCCCCGCCGGTGTCCCCGTGCCCCCCCCGGGCTGCCCGTGCCCCCCCCGGTGCCCCCGCCGGTGCTCACCGGTGGCAGAGATGAACTTGTTGTAGTTCTCATAGAGCAGGGTCTGCATGTCGCTGTCCAGGGCGCGGATCTCCCGGCCCAGCTCGGCCTCGCGCGCCAGCAGCTGCGCCAGGGGACACTCGCTGCGGATCTGGGAGGGGGACAGGGGCATCAGCACCCCAACCCCACTGACCCCAATCCCACTGCTCCCAACTCCACTGCCCCCAACCACACTGCCCCCAATGCACTGCCCCCAATGCACTGCCCCCAATGCACTGCCTCCAGCCCCACTGCCCCCAATCCCACTGCTCCCAGAACCCCACTGCCCCCAACGCACTGCCCCCAATGCACTGCCCCCAGTCCACTGCCCCCAATCCAGTGCCCCCAACCACACTGCCCCCAATGCACTGCCCCCAATGCACTGCCCCCAACCGCACTGCCCCCAATCCCACTGCCCCCAACCACACTGCCCCCAACCCACTGCCCATAAGTCACTGTCCCCAATCCACTGCCCCCAATGCACTGCCCCCACCCCCACTGCCCCCAATGCACTGACCCCAGTGCACTGCCCCTAACCACACTGCCCCCAATGCACTGCCCCCATTCCACTGCCCCCAGTCCACTGCCCCCAATCCAGTCACTGCCCCCAACCCACTGCCCAATCGCACTGCCCCCAATGCACTGCCCCCAATCCCACTGCTCCCAGCCCCACTGCTCCCAGCCCCACTGCCCCCCAGGAGCTCCAACTGCCCCCAGTGAGTGCTTATTGCCCCTGCCCCCCGCAGCTGCCCCATAGGACCCCGATATTGCCCCCATGGAGCCACCCGTGCTCTAGTGGAAGGCGATCCACAGGGTCCCTCCCGCAGGGCCCCGCCTGCGCCCGCCGCGGGTGTCCCCGAGCCCCCGCCGGGGGGAGCCGGTGCGTGCGGTGTCCCCGGGGCTGTCACGGAGAGCTCCAAGGTCACCTTAGTGAGGAAAGCCTCGGGGTCGAAGTGGGGCCCGTTGATGTCGGTGGGGTCCGGCTCCGGGTCCGCCTCGGCCGCCTCTGCCGCGGAGGGGCCATAGTACCGCTGGAGGGGCCCATGGGGCCGCCGCCACCCGCCGGTACTGCCGCCGGTACCGGTACCGGTACCGGAACCGCTGCCGGCCTCGGGACTGTCCCCACCGCCGCTCCCCGCCGCCTCCGGCTCCGGCTCCGCCATCGCGCCACCGCCTCCGGCACTTCCGGCCCGTCCCCTGAGCGTCACTTCCGGCGCGACGTCGCTGTCGCCGTGGCAACCGGGCGCCGTGCCCGTCATGGCGGTCCCAGCGCTGGGCCTGGGCCGCAGCCGCCCGGTCCCGTCCCGCTGTGCCCGGGGATGGGGACGCAGGAGGAGGCGCCGGTGCCGAGGGGTGAGCGGCGGTGGCGGCCCCAGTCCCGGCCCCGGCCCCGGAGGCGGCGCCCTGCGAGCGTTCCCCGGGCGCGCTCGGGGCGGTGGGGACCCTGCGGGGACGCGCCCGGCCCCTGCTCCCCCGTCACGCCCCGTTCCTCGTCGGGGGCCGCCCCGGGACCACCTCAGAGACAAGAGCTCCAACCCCTGCACTGCAGTTCCCTGAAGGAGCACCATTCCCACTTCATGGGATAACGCTGAGATTGGGCTTTGAGGCAGCGGGCTCTCTGCAGCTCCAGCACAACCCGAGGGATCTGGTCTTGGCACGTAGCCTTGCTAACGTGAGCACAAGGGAGAAACACTTCAGCAAGATTCTAAAGCCAGAGCTTTATTTACAACAGTCGAAGGGAATGGAAAGAGCTGGGAGCTGCCACATCTCCCCAGAGAAGCAGCAGGAAGAACCGGTCACCACTGCCTCCCTTCTACTGGCCTTCCCTGTGCACTTCCCAAAGGTAGAGGTCCAAAGACTCCCAGTCCAGCCAGGGCAGTGTCTGGGCACAGCCTGCTGCAGGTGAACAAAGGACAACACTGTCCCCTTACGGATCTGGAGCTGGCTCAGTCCAAGGACAAGGGAATTCCTAATGGGTGCAAGGGAGGCTAAAGGAAACATACCCCCCCCCCCCCAACTGGTGAACATGGGCTTGCTGGGGAGAAGGGCCATCAGGTTCTCTTTACACTGGCTTCAGAGTTATGGGAGTGTGTTTCTGGCTGCCTGAGAGGGACTGGAAGATACCGTATGTGTGCAAATGGAGGTGGCTTATGGGCTCTGGGCCTCCTTTCTTGCAGGGTTCATCCCTGGTGTTGCCCAGAAGGGGATAAAGGTGACAGAGCTCGCATTCAAATGAAGGTTTACTCCTCTGCAACAACTGGGAAGCATCAGGGCGCAGATCTGCCGATTTCATTTCAAAGCAGAGCACATTTCATTTCACCCAGTGACCCCAGTGCTGTCAATAGGGCACGGGGAAGCTGAGGGCAGGCATCAGCTGAGTGGCCATGCTGGAATGTCAGTCACACGTTCATGCTTCCAGACCTGTCAGCATCCTGAGCTCCAGAGCTTCCACAGCTCAGCTGGTTTATGGGGATCAGGGAGTCTCTGGAGCCACATCTCCTCACAAGCCTGGTACCGAGTGTCAAAAAGGGAGGTAACACAAAAGCAGCCTCTAAAAACAGGCTGTGAGACGTGGCCAAGGAGGCAAGAGATGACGGTGTCAGCACTTAGCAACATCAGGATGTGTTATACATGAGAATCTGGTTAGAACCACATCGTTTTATAGGGATGTCTGAGACCAGCAGAGCAAGGAGGAGAAGCTGGTGGTGGTCAGAGGTTATTCGGAAGGGCTGTCTGGAGCACCTGAAGGCCTCCACCCGGGGCAGAGCCACAGGAGCAGCTCTGTCAGTCACTGTTTTCTGTCCTGCGAAACCCGCAGAGCACCTCAAGTCCCTGCTCTGGCCACCAGGTAGTAGAGGATGACGAAGAGCAGGACGAGCCCAGCCGAGACGGAGCAGAGCAGCCGCCGGTTCTCCCTGCCGGAGCGCGCCATGCTGGAGAAGCGCTTCACGCTGCCCGTCAGCAGCCCCGTCACACTCAGCAGGTCCGAGTCCTGGGGACAGAGGACAGAGGACGGGCAGGCAGAGGCTTACAAACACAGATCCGAGCTAACAGCAACTCTGCATGTGAAGCCTGCACCCACGCACCCACCGCACATTCCCTAGGTGAAGCTGGGCCATCCCATGCACCAGAAGGTGTCATCTCCTGCCATCATTCTATCCTCCCCTCAGCATGGGGTCACATTCACATGCAGCTCTGCCAGAGGGGGCAAACAGCTCTCAAACTAACGCAGTTTGGGCAGTTTCATTTTGACTTTGGGTCTGGTTTTCCTTATGCACAAACTACTTGGAGCTTCTGCTTGTGCTGCTCCTGAAATGCTTCAGAGTCTCCTCTGTAACAGCACAGTTTCATGCTGGTCAGAGACTTCTCCTTTAAGGTCTTTTGCCATGATCCCTTTGATTCTCCATTCTCCTGCTTATCAGGCTGAGAAAACACCCATTTCAGACACTCCAACACTCTCAGCAGACACTGCTATTACACAGCTACAGGCTGAGCTTCGACTCAGCTGGTTTCAACACTACAATTATCTGCTCTCTTGCTTCCACACCCCAGCTCAGGCAGAAAAGGTGCTCCAAGCACCAGTGTTCTGGTGCTGATCAACTCAAACCTCTGCCTGGATTCCCCTCCTTCATGAGCTGCCTTTCCCCTAAAAGGCCTCAGCAGATGCCCCCTCTGCTCCAGGGATGTGCTGGCCTGGCCTGGCCCCAGTGCACTGGGATCTTCCATCAGCAACCAAAGCTTAAGAGGCAGATGACTGGGAAGGGAATTTGGTTTCACTGGTGGCGTGTGTCAGAAAGAAACCAGAGCAGGGCCCTGAGCAGCACCAGAATCACAGGGGCAGCTGAGGAACAGGCCCATCTGCGGGGAGCAGCTGCAGGAGGCAGCTCTTTAACCCTGTGAAGGAGGTGATCTCCACCTGTATTTCCACACCAGTCTCTCCAGATGCTGGATACCAAACCCGCCAGCCCCTTGGACAAAGGGACCCTGCCAGCAGTGAAGTGCCTGATGGTCGTGCACCAAGAAATCCACCGGGACCAGGTTCAGTCACATTCCTGGTTTGCCAAAGCGAGTGCTGGGATCTACCTCTGCTGTTAACCTGGAGCTCTGGTCACTGAGAGCAGCACACCCAGGCTGCTCACCGCACGCCACCGGCTCCTTACCATGCCGTCCAGGTAACGGTTCTGCTCCTCCGCGTCTTTGTCGATGTCCAGTGCCAGCTACACAGGGATGAAGCAGGGGTTAGCGGCCGTCAGTGCACAGAGAACCAACACGCGTGCTGCTGGTTCAACTGCAATGCACGTCGGAGAAGCAAGCCCCAGCTCCCCCCCCCGAGGCTTGTTCTGTCAAGGGAACGATTCTCACGTCACGTTTGGGTTGTTGAGCTTTTTTCAGCTCTGAGAATAAAGCTGGGCTGTCCAAAACTGCCACACTGGGCAGGAGCATGGGGACAGATGGGGACACAGAGCAGGACTGAGTCCTCCCTTCTACAGGGCGAGTCATTGACTTCTGTTAAGCTCTAAATCAAAGTGCTTGGTGTTAGGAGGAGCAAAGCAGCTCTAAGAACACCACTTACAAGGTGTATTTCTCAGAACTGCTCTATGTGCCTGTTTATGGTGATGTTTTCCCTGAGGAGCTGTGCTTTACTACCCCCTGTGCAGCTCTGATGCCTCAAACTACTTCCCCACGTGCTGCGACAACCACACCATCCCCTTTGGATGCTGTTGCTAAACCTCAGCAGGAAGCGCCAATTCGCAGACATCCCTGGCGTTTCGCAAGGGGAAGCTGAGGACCAGCTCGGGGCCACCGCACACCGGGAGCCGCTGCGCTGGGATAACGGGTAACGGATAACGGGTAAGGGGTAAGGGGTGCGCCGCCCGCCTCGGGCACTCACCGCCTTGAGCCGGGTGACCTTGCCGGCCAGGCTCTCCGCCATGCGCTTGTTCTCCGCGTCCAGCGCATCCTCGGGCCCAGCGCTCGGACCTGGCCGGGGAGGAGGCGGCTCAGCCCCGCCCGCTCGCTGCTCACCCCACGGGGCGGCCGCGGCCGAGCGCGCTCGCTGCCCCCCCCCCCCCAAGGCCTCCGCTGGCCACGGGGGCCGTTACCGCTGCCCCCCCCCCCCGCGTCTTTGCCACGGGGCGATCCCGAGCTCCTTTTGCCCAAACTACAGCGAACTCCCCCCAGAGAGGCGCGGGGAGAACCCCAGGGCCCTGCCCCGAGCAGCTCGGCTCCAGCAGTGCCGGGGGCTCCGTGCCCAGCGCGGGGCTGCCTCAAGCCGCTCACACCGGGGCTCTTCCCCCCCCCCCCCGGCCCTTCCGGGGCTCCCCTGGCCTGGGCCCCCCGGAGGCTCCCGCAACCGGACCCTGGCGGCTCCCGAATGACGGCGGGGCCGACCCCGGCCTCGATCCCTTCCCCTCCCGCCCATGCCCTGCGATGGGACCCGGGACCCCCTCCCCGGCAGCAGCAAGGCCCCTCCGCGCCCCCCGCCTCACCTCGGCCCCTCTCCGCCATGGCGGCCGCTGGGCCCGCCCCGCTGGGCGGAGCCGCGCCGGGCCCACAAAATGCCCGCCCCCCTCCGCCCGCTCTGCGCGGCTCCGGGCGCTGCGGAGGGAACCGGGAGCACCGCGGCCTCCGCGCTGGGCCGGGCCGGGCCCCGGGCGGGGAGCGCGGCCGAGGCAGGAGGCCGGGGCGGCGGGAGGAAGGTAACGGCGCTCCCCTCCGGCCCTGCTCGCCGCAGCCCCTCGCCGGGCCGCAGGGCTCCAGCGCCGGGGGTCGGTCCCGGCTCCGGCTCCGAGGGACTCCGAGCCGCAGGTACCGGCAGCGCCGGCCCGGCCGCTGGGGGGGAACCGGGGCTTGAGGGGCTGGGGACGGCGCGGAACGAGGCGGGGGGAGGCAGCGGGGGGGTGGAACGTGGCCGGGGCGGGCCCGGCTCCTGCCTTGACCGCAGAGCCGGGGGCAGCCCCCGGGCCCAGCCCCTCCGCGGGTGCGGTTCCGGGCCGGGGCCCCCGAGCGACCCCCGCTTCCCGCAGCTCTGCCCCAGGCCCCTCCCGGCTGCGTGGGGCAGGAGGGGTGGCCCCCGTGGGCGCCCCAGAGCCCGGCACTGCCGGCGCAGGGCCCGGTGCAGCGCGGGGGCTGCGTTCGGTGCTTGCCGCGCTGCAGAGCGCGTACCATGGGGGTCTTAATAGGGGATCCGCGCTGCAGAGCCCGTACATGGCTCCATGGGGTCTAACAGGGGATCCGTGCTGCAGAGCGTGTACATGGCTCCATGGGGTCTAACAGGGGATCCGTGCTGCAGAGCGTGTACATGGCTCCATGGGGTCTAATAGGGGATCCGCGCTGCAGAGCCCGTACATGGCTCCATGGGGTCTAACCGGGGATCCGCGCTGCAGAGCCCGTGCATGGCTCCATTGGGTCTAACCCCAGATCCATGCTGCAGAGCCCGTACATGGCTCCATGGGCTCTAACCGGGGATCCGCGCTGCAGAGCCCGTGCATGGCTCCATTGGGTCTAACCCCAGATCCATGCTGCAGAGCCCGTACATGGCTCCATGGGCTCTAACCGGGGATCCGCGCTGCAGAGCCCGTGCATGGCTCCATTGGGTCTAACCCCAGATCCATGCTGCAGAGCCCGTACATGGCTCCATGGGGTCTAACCGGGGATCCGTGCTGCAGAGCCCGTACATGGCTCCATGGGGTCTAACAGGGGATCCGCGCTGCAGAGCGCGGTGCATGGCTCCATGGGGTCTAACCCCAGATCCATGCTGCAGAGCGCGGTTCCTGGCTCCATGGGCTCTAACCGGGGATCCGTGCTCTCTGATGTGCTCGGAGCCGCTTTATTTCCCACCGCCGCGGGTGCTCCCCGCACTGTGCCCTTGCAGGGCTCTGTGCGCTGCTGAGCTCCTGCTGTGCCTGAAATAACCCCCTCGCCTCTGTGCGCCTCTGCTCATTGACACGGCCATGGTGAGGCGCGGTGCTGGTGCACAAGGGACGTGTGTTCTGACCGCGTGTGCCTGATGCACTCCCACAGCCCGTCCCTGCGCTGGCTGTGCCAGGCAGCAGAACCCAGGGATCGACTGCCACAAACCCTCCCAGGTGGCTCTGCCGGGGGCCGGGGGATGCTCTCCATGGGAACGCCTGTGGAGGTTGCACTCGCTGTGTTCCTGCTCCTGTGCAGCGCTAGGAATCAGGGCAGCCCGAGGAGGAGGGGGCAGAGCTATTTCAGGGAGCTGCTGTTATCTGCTCTGTGTTAATCCCGGGCTGGGATGGGGGGGGAAGGCTTTCCCCGGGTGCTTTAGCGCCCGGGCATGCATTAAATGTTGAAAAGCAAAGAGGGAAAGAAGAGGATTAGAGGGCGAGGGAGGAAGCTGGCTGCTGGTGAGCCTGGGTTATCCATCTGCTCTGCCCCTATGGATGCAGCAGCGTGAGCAATCACCTGCGGCTTCCCTCTGGTTTGGCCTTTCCCTCCTCCCTCTCTGCTCTCCTGTATCCAGGTCCTTCTGCATCGCCCCCTGGTTCACCTCCTGCTGAGCTGAGGGAGATAATGGAGCTCCGGGCGGTGGTGGCCGCGCTGGAGAGCGGGGAGCAGGACACGGTGCTCAAGGTGCTTCAGGTCTACAACCGGGAGGTGAGTGAGGTCCCAGCCTCGCCTGCAGTGGGACCTGTGTGTCCCCATGCGTCCCATGGAGCACATCTGCCTGTGTGTCACTGCCAGCAGCATGGACTGGCTGCTTCGGTTTTCCCTGCTGTTTGGCTGGGGAGCAGCTGAGCGGCCTCTCAGTGTCCTGGTTCCTCTGTATATTGCAAGGAAAGCATGGAGAAGGGCGAAGGGGTTGTTCTTGTGATTGCTGTTATTGAGCTATCAGGTAAAACCTGGAGGGAAATCGGTGCAGACCAAGCAGGAGAAGCCTTTCTGTGAAGGCAAGGCTTGGAGGTGAGGTTTGGGGCCTGGGGAGGAGCTGCAGGTGGAGTGGTTCTTGTGATTTGCAAGTCAAAGATCCCAGAGGGCAGGGATGGGGCTGCTGGAGCCGGGTGCAGGCGCCTGCTCTGAACTGGGGGTAGAGAGCATCAGAGCAGGAAACTGCCCCATCCCTGGCAGTGTTCGAGGCCAGGTTGGACACAGGGGCTTGGAGCAAGGTGCTCCAGTGGAAGGGGTCCCTGCCTGTGGCTGGGACCTTGGAGCTGGATGGGCTTTGAGGTCCCTTCCAACCCAACCCATTCTTGGTTCTAAGAACGGTTGGGAAGCAGAGGGGGAAGCGCTTTGAGCCTTAAAGTGGCCCAAGGGGGTCTGTGGGGGTAAATCCCATCACAAACAGGCTCTGGTTGTCAGGGAGGTCTCGCTCAGGGTTCCCACTGGGGCAGGGGGCCCTGCAGAGCTCCTGACTCAGCCCCGAGTGGGAGGGGAGCAGCAGGGAGAGCCTTGTGCAGGGGTGTGCGAGAGGAGAGTGCGGCTCTGAGACGGGGGAGATGTGGCTGAGAAGGAGCAGGGCCCTCCTGGGCGTTGCTCCATAGGAACAGCGTCCCCTGCTCCAGGTGTGACGCTGGAGGAGCTGGAAGTGCAGCCAGAGCTCCGTGTGGGGCCAGCCTGAGGTACCAGCCACGGGGTTCTCTGTTGTCCTCTGCTGGTGCTGCAGTGTAGGAGCCTGTGAGGGTGGCAGTGGCTCTGCTGGGCAATCAGAGGAGGCTGTGATGCTGCAGAGGATGTGAGCAACCTCCTTGCCTCGTTTTTACTGTGGAGTCAATGGTGCTGCAGCCTCTGTGGGGTGTGTTTGAATTCACTGTTGCAGGCTCAGTCAGTCGTTGATTGCCAGCAGCAAGCTACAGCTAAAGCAAAGGCACAGGTATGCAAAACAGACACGAATGGGGCTACAGGAGCCTCCAAGAGGATGCAGTGGGAGAGCACAAGTGCCCCGGTTGCCTGCAGAGCACATCAGCTCCAGGACTGGAGCCCCAGTCCCTCAGTGAGGGGCAGCAGGAGAGGGCACCCTGGGGAGGCTGGAGGCTCTGCAGGCAGCCTCTTGCTGTTGTGTTCTCCACCACGGCTTGGTCTGGGCTGGCAAGACCAAAGCCATCGCTAGGACCTTGGTGCTGGGGCAGGGTTAAGCTGCACCCTGGATCTGCTGCTTAAGCAGCCAGGAGCTGGCAGCCCATTAAAAAGGTGGCAGGGGAGGCTGCGCCTGTGGAATGAGGGAGTCAGGGAGCACCCGGGATCCCCAAAGCCCCAAGCAACCAGTCCTGGGCTGGAGGAAGGCAACGGGCAGCTCGTGATGTGGTAAATACAGTGGGAGATGAGCTCAGCCCTTGAGAGCCTGCATGGGATACCCAGGAGTTGCCATTCCTCGAGAGAGAATCAATGCAGAGTGTGAGGATGCTTGGTTGTGGTGATCCCTGCTCCTGAGCAGCTCCATAGGGATGAGTGGGGTCAGCCAAAGGTGGCCAAGGAAAGGGACGTGCTGGAGGTGGAGAGAGCAGGTCTCTTGTGCTTAAAGAATGGGACCTGTCACCCCATGGTCTGGTTGCAGGTAACAAGAAGCGCGTTCTGTTGGTCAGGAGGAGGAGCAGTAAATGTCAAGGGGAGGATTGTGTAGGCCCAGCTCGGTGGTGTCACTGAGCAGGGAATTGTGGCTGTTATGGGATAAGAAGCTCTTCCCTGTGAGGGTGCTGAGCGCTGGCACAGGGTGCCCAGAGAAGCTGTGGCTGCCCCATCCCTGGCAGTGCTCAAGGCCAGGTTGGACACAGGGGCTTGGAGCAAGCTGCTCCAGTGGAAGGGGTCCCTGCCCTGGCAGGGGTTGGAGCTGGAGGAGCTTTCAGGTCCCTTCAACCCAAACCAGGCTGGGGTTCTGATTTCCGAATCCTCTTTCCTCCAGTGCCTGGGCTGTTTGGCTTTCTTCTGTTTCAGACAGGGGTTCTCTGCGCACTGGTTCCCTGCCGCTGCTGGGGGCTGCTCTTGAGGGGCTGCTTGCTTTTGGGCAGTTTGGGTTCAGACCTGCCCTGCCCAGGGCCATGGGGTTGTGCATTTCTAACCTGTTGCTTTCCTTGGTTTTGTTCTCCCCACAGAAATCTCAGTGCTTCACCTTTGACGATGAGGAGCGGGAGGAGAGGAAGGTGGGCACAGGCTTTGCTGTCTTCCTCTGGCTGGGTATGGGAATGTGCTGCTGTTGGTACTCCTGTGCAGCAGGTTTGATGCTGGCAGCTCCTTGGGGAAAGCAAGGAGTGTTGGCATTAGCTTGGTGAGGGAACGGGGTGCTCAGAGCATCTGCCTGGCTGTTCCCATCCATAGGTGGTGGTTTAGGATGAAGGTCAGCATCCTTCAGCATCAGCAAGCCCTCTGCATCCTGCAGAGCGTGTAGTGCCAGCCATGGGTGTGTAAGAGCTGTGATCACCTGCAGGCCGAGGCCACAGCAGCATGCAGGGCTCCAGAGGGGTTCTGTGAGGCAGCTGCAGGCTTTGGCTGCGGCAATGCATTAACAGATGCTTTGAGCTGCTGTCATCTGGCCCTCCGTGGAAGGAAGCTCTCCTGTTCATGGCTGCTGTTGCCAGGGCAGACCTGTTCATGGCTGCACGTGGCTGGTGGGCTCCTCTATCCGTAAGCCAGTTTTTCCTGACAGAGCCCGGATTGTTTTCCGTCTGGTCCAGTCCATTGATTGTGCCAGTGCCTGTGTTAGCACAGCAAGTGTGGGCCATGCAGCCAGGGTAGAGCACAGGACCCCTCTTGTGTGTCAGCTGATGCGGGGTGCAGCTTCTCCAGGTACAGCCAGATGCACAGGACCAGATGTCCCAGGATCCGTGCTCTCTGCCCTGCTTGTCCAGCTGCTTGGGCTGGGCCAGTCACAGTCAACAGGCTGAGAATTGGGGCACAGCCTTGGGGTGCTCCACTTCTGTGGTGTAAGTCAGGAAGCACAGAGGGAGCATCGCCATCTAACTCCTGGTGCTCAGTTCTTGGGAAGGTTTAGCCCTGGGAACACTCTCCAAGATCTTTTTAAGCTGAGTCTAAAATCTCTTCCTTCCTTCAGTCCTTTTATCATCACCACATCCAGCAGTGACACCGGGTGACAAACCTTGCTGTGATCGTGGGTTCCTTCCCCCTAGTGCTGTGCATGGAAAGACACTGGTGTTGCATTAGAGATGCAGGGGGACCTGACCTCACCAGGGTGTCGGTGTCAGTGCAGGGGGTGCCTGGTGTAACATGAGGTGTTGCTACACGTGGCTCAGGCCAGGGGGTGCCTGGTGTAACATGAGGTGTTGCTACACGTGGCTCAGGCCAGGCTGTCCCCAGTGTGTGGAGCTCCCTTTGCTCCCCGTGCCTTGCTCGCTGGCACGCACGGTGCTGTTACCCACGAGGGTTTGGTTCTCTGCTCCTGTGAATCGGTGTTAGTGGAGCTCTGCCAGCCCGGCCCTGCAGAGGATCTGGGCCAGTAGGCCTCCAGACAGCCCTGAGATCATGCTTTGAATCTCCTGAGGCCTTACCACCCCTTTCTGAGGGCATCACGTGCTGCTCTCACCTCACTCAGGTCCATTCCCCTCCCTTGGTGGTTTCTGATGCATCTCAGCCTTGTCAGTCTGTTTCTGGAGTACCCAGAGCAGATGCCTCCCTAACCTGAAGGCTCTGGGTGGGAGTGGAAGGCTGCTATTGAGTTGGTTGTCAGTGAAGCCTTAAGGGATGCTTTTGCTCTGTCCTCTTTGCTTAATGCGGCTGTCAAGTAAACCCTGTTACCCTGAATCATCCTCACCATGGGTGAAGCTGCAATATGGGGTAGCAGCGGTTGTCTGTTCATCCTCCCCCCTTACATCTGGTACCCTCTCCCAGCCACTCTTTGTTTCTTGCTTGAGCTGGGCCAGGATCAGATGCCAGAGCCAAGCAGTTGCTGGGTGCAGCCCTGAACCAGAGCCACCATAGGCCCACCTCTAGGTGATGCTCCCATCTCCCAGGGCAGTGTTACAGGGTGTCAATGGCAGAGCATGAGGCATCCCTTGGTTCTTGTTCCCAACGGCACAGAGAATGGCCCAGCTGCTGGTGAGGTTCCTGGAGAGGGAGCTGCAGCCGTCCTGCCAGGTCACCTGCCTGGAGAGCATCCGCATCCTGTCCCGGGACAAGTCCTGCCTGGAGCCCTTCAGCAGCAAGGAGGGGCTGCGGGCGCTCGCCAGGCACGCGGGCCTCCATCCCTGCGAGGAGCTCATCCGGGAGCTCCCCGACCTGGACGTGGTCCTGGAGGCCCTCAAGTGCCTCTGCAACGTCGTGTTCAGCAGCGCGCGGGCGCAGGCGCTGGCGGCCGAGGCCCGGCTCGTGGAGGGCCTGGCCGGGCGCGTGCGGCTCTGCCCCGGCAGCAGCCTCCCCCACGAGGTGAAGTTCTTCGACCTGCGGCTGCTGTTCCTGCTGACGGCGCTGCGGGTGGAGGCGCGGCAGCGGCTGGCGCGGGAGCTGCGCGGCGTCAGCCTCATGGCCGACACCCTGGAGCTCACCCTCGCCGTGAAGTGGAGGCACCCCCACGAGGTCGCCACCCAGGAGGGGCCTCTCCCCCCTCTGCCTCGGCAGGAGACGGAGCGCGCCATGGAGATCCTCAAGGTGCTCTTCAACATCACCTTCGACTCCAGCAAGAGGGAGGTGGATGAGGTGGGTCCTGGCTGCGTCCCCCATGTGCCTGTCTCCAGGCCGGGTGTCACTGCTGCCGCTCTCGCTTGTGTGTCACCTGTTACAAACCGGCCCTCGTGCAGCCCCTGAGGGTGGCAGGAGCCTCGTGTCAGAGCCTCCTCCCTTGGGCACTGCCCCTGCCCAGTGCATTACTGAGCAGTGCAGTTTACAAGTTGGGTGTTCCCCTTCTTAATGGCACTATTGAGTGCACAGGGGCAGAGCAGACACCCCAGGAACTCACTTCTGAGCCTGGCCTGGGGCTCCTCCACCTTCTGGACCAGGTCAATGGAGGATGTGATGGAGAGCACCTCTGCCTAATCCATGGCGCTGGCTTGGGGCCGCTTCCAGCCTTTGGCTCAGTGTCCCAGAGCAAGGGGAAAGGTACTGGGCAGCAGGGAATCTGGGAATTGTCCTGAAGGAGAACTGGAGGCTGCTTTCACTTGAGGCACCCTGCAGGCAGCTGCAGGCGGCTGGATGGGGCTGTGGGCTCAGGGCACGCTCTGGGATGTGGAGGATCCCTTTCCTGATGCAGGTTTCCATTCTGTTTGGGGGCAGGAGGATGCTGCTTTGTACCGGCACCTGGGGGCCCTCCTGCGCCACTGCCTCATGATCTCTGCCGATGGAGAGGACAGGACAGAGGAGTTCCACAGGTCTGTTAGAGCAGTTGGTCACCATCTCACTAGCAACAGCTCTCCTAAGGCAGATCCTGACTTTGGCTTTAGCATCCTCTGCTTGTGCGGTGATTGCTGAGGTCACTGTGATGAGCAGGTACCCTTGGTCCAGCCTGAGGTTCCTCCACCCAAACTGGCCCTGTCCTTCCTGCAGACACCTTGCCTGTGCTGCCACCCCAGAGAGGAGCGCGCTGTGCTCTCCCAGCCTGCCCGAGGGCTGTGCTCCAGCCCCTTCCACCCCTGCCTCCAACCTGCTCAGGTGCCACCACTGCAGTGGCCTTTGCCAGAGCAGATGTTTGGTGCTTTGGTTAGAGCCCGTGCTGTGTCAGTCCCTGAAGCCAGGCTGAGGAGCTGCCTGTGGCACATCACTGAGCGCTCCTGGCCCAGGGGTGTCACCTCTGAGCTGGTGACACCGGCCTCAGTCAGGCATCCGAAGCAATGCTCTAATGGCTATTGGGGTGAGAAGGAACGATAGTGATACAGCAGGAGATCCTGGAGAGAGACCTGCTTGGCCTCAGTGTCAGGATCCGTGCTTTCTCATCTGTCAGCAAACAGACTCCCAGAACATAGTTCAAGTACCCCAAAAGCAGTTCAATTTATCCCCTTTCAGTGGTGTGAGGAGCCTGGGTGCAGCCCATAGACAGCTCGGATCTCAGGGTGCCCTCACTGCTGGATGTTAGCCATGAGCTGAGGAGCTCCCGAGAGCAAAGCCCCGTGACTGTGTTCTCTCGTGCCTTCCTTGCGCAGCCACACGGTGAACCTGCTGGGCAACCTGCCCCTCAAGTGTCTGGATGTGCTGCTCGCCCCCAGAGTGCGCCCCGGCTCCCTGGAGTACATGGGTGTCAACATGGACGCGGTCAGCGTCCTGCTGGACTTCCTGGAGCGCCGCCTCGACAGGGTGAGTTGTGAGGTCCCTGCTCCCTTGCCTGCAGGCTGGGGAGGCCCCGGGCACCACCACAGCACACGGGGGGGCTTGCAGATAGCTCTGCATGGAAGGGGCCAAACTTGGGGTTGGTGGGGCTGAATCAGTGTCTGTTGATGGGGAAAGTGACTGTGGCATCACTTGGTGGGCTGCAGGCAGGGAGGCTGCTTGAGCAGCAGGGGATTGGCTGCGTGATGGGAAACGGGTTCTGTTCCAGTCAGCTCGGTAGGGACCTGGTGAGCAGGTTCTCAAGCCTCAGTTGGTGTTGTTTCAAGCTGGCTGTGGTTCTTCCAAAGGGCCTTCACGTGTTAACACTGCACTTCTCCATCCGGGTGCCCCACAGGTATTCCTAGCAGGTGGAGGCTGCTGTGCTATAGAGCAGGGCTCAGAGAGCAGTGGGTTTGGGAATGATGGAGCACTGGATGCCCCACAGGTATTCCTAGCAGGTGGAAGCTGCTGTGCTATAGAGCAGGGCTCAGAAAGCAGTGGGTTTGGGAGTGCTGGAGCACTGGATGCCCCACAGGTATTCCTAGCAGGTGGAAGCTGCTGTGCTATAGAGCAGGGCTCAGAAAGCAGTGGGTTTGGGAGTGCTGGAGCACTGGAACTCCTGCAGCAGGGCTGGAGCTTTGATGTCCAGCTCTTGCCCTGCTGTCTGCACTCCGGTTCCCCACCACAGGGCTGGAGCTTTGATGTCCAGCTCTTGCCCTGCTGTCTGCACTCAGGTTCTCCACAGGGCTGCAGCTTTGATGTCCAGCTCTTGCCCTGATGTCTGCACTCAGGTTCCCCACCACAAGGCTGGAGCTTTGATGTCCAGCTCTTGCCCTGCTGTCTGCACTCAGGTTCTCCACAGGGCTGGAGCTTTGATGTCCAGCTCTTGCCCTGCTGTCTGCACTCAGGTTCTCCACAAGGCTGGAGCTTTGATGTCCAGCTCTTGCCCTGCTGTCTGCACTCAGGTTCTCCACAGGGCTGGAGCTTTGATGTCCAGCTCTTGCCCTGCTGTCTGCACTCAGGTTCCCCACCACAGGGCTGGAGCTTTGATGTCCAGCTCTTGCCCTGCTGTCTGCACTCAGGTTCCCCACAAGGCTGGAGCTTTGATGTCCAGCTCTTGCCCTGCTGTCTGCACTCCGGTTCCCCACCCCAAGCCAGAGGAGCAGAGCTCAGTGGGACTCAGGTGCTGCTGGTTTTGTGGTGCCTCTGCAGGGACACAAGCTGAAGGAGAGCCTGACCCCGGTGCTGAACCTGCTGACGGAGAGCGCCCGCGTCCATCGCCAGACCAGGAAGTTCCTGAAGGCAAAGGTGAGCTGGGGCTCAGGCACAGCTGGGGGATGCTGCTCCAGGAGAGAGGGGACCGGCGAGCACCTGGACACTGCCACCCTCCCCACAGGGCCCCCTGCCCCTGCTGGGCTCTGGTTCGTGCGGGTTGAGGCCTTGGTACCCGCAGTGTTATCTTCACAGTATCCCAGTATCCCAGTATGTTAGAGATTGGAAGGGACCTCAAAAGCTCATCCAGTCCAATCCCCCTGCAGAGCAGGAACACCCAGATAAGGTTACACAGGAACGTGTCCAGGCGGGTTTTGAATGTCTCCAGAGAAGGAGACCCCACAACCTCCCTGGGCAGCCTGGTCCAGTGTTCTGTCACCTCACTGAGAAGAAGTTGAAGTGGAACCTCTTGTGTTCCAGTTTGTACCCATTGCCCCTTGTCCTATCATTGTTTGCCACTGAGAAGAGCCTGGCTCCATCCTCGGGACACTCCCCCTTTATATATTTATATACACTAATAAGGTCACCCCTCAGTCTCCTCCAAACTATAGAGACCCAGCTCCCTCAGTCTGTCCTCATAAGGGAGATGCTCCACTCCCTTCATCATCTCAGTTGCCCTGCGCTGGACTCTCTCCAGCAGGTCCCTGTCCTTCTGGAACTGAGGGGCCCAGAACTGGACCCAATATTCCAGATGAGGTCTCACCAGGGCAGAGTAGAGGGGAAGGAGGACCTCTCTCGACCTACTAACCACCCCCCTTCTAATACACCCCAGGATGCCATTGGCCTTCTTGGCCACAAGGGCACAGTGTCGGCTCATGGTCACCCTGTCGTCCATAGGACCCCCAGGTCCCTCTCCCCTACACTGCTCTCTAAGGGGTCGTTCCCCAGCCTATCCTGGAACCTGGGGTTGTTCTGCCCCTGTCCCTGTGCATCGCTCGTTGTTGCTGCCCCCTCCTGGCCTGCTCCAGCCCCACTGCTCCCCGCAGGTGCTGCCGCCGCTGCGGGACGTGAGGACGCGGCCGGAGGTGGGGAGCGCGCTGCGGAACAAGCTGGTGCGGCTCATGACCCACATCGACACGGACGTGAAGCACTGCGCCGCCGAGTTCCTCTTCGTGCTCTGCAAGGAGAGCGGTGAGCGCAGGCAGGGGCTGCCCGGGGCCGCGCAGTGTGGGGTGGGAGATGCTCTGCATCCACTGGGAGCCTCTGTTCCCATGGCCTGGGTGCACTGAGCAGGAGGCAGTGGGAAGTGTCCCGTGTGCTGTGGGGAGGGGTGGCTGTGGCTCAGGCCAGCAGGGAGGGAAGAGCTGTGCTGGAGGGCAAGCACCAAACCACCCTGTTCACACCCTCACCATTGGGTGCTGAACTGCCCTTCCTGGTGCAAAGTGGCAGCCAGTTCCCTGGCAGAGCCCAAAGCAGTGCTGGCATCTCCAGGCCTCCATGGCCTGGCTCCAGTCTTGCTATGGGGGCACACGCAGGGGCAGATGGGCAGGAGTAGGAGGGAAGCACAGGGTGGTTGGTGTCTCTGACAGCACAGGGATGCACAGTGTTCCTGGTGTCTCCTGTGTCCCACAGTGTCCCGGTTTGTGAAGTACACCGGCTATGGGAATGCTGCGGGGCTGCTGGCAGCTCGAGGCCTCATGGCCGGGGGCCGGGAAGAGGGCGAGTACTCGGAGGATGAGGACACGGACACCGAGGAGTACAAAGAGGCCAAGCCCAAGTAAGAATCCTGGTCCCTGGCCAGAGCCCCCTGTTCCTAAAGCACCTCCCAGTCCCCTTCTGTCCCTGTCTTCCTCTGTTCTCTGCCATCTCCCTTGTCCTGCCCTTCCATAGGCCCTGTGTGTAGGACACGCAGGAGCAGCAGCTCCCCATTGCGCTGTGCTCCTGCCCTTGCAGCCAGTCCTGACCCTGTGCTCCTCTGCTCAGGAGAACCCAGCTCTTCAAGGAGCCCTTTGCTCACTGCTCTGCTTTCCTCCTGCTCTGCCCTCACCTTGCTCTTCTTGCAGCATTAACCCGGTGACGGGCCGAGTGGAGGAGAAGCTGCCCAACCCCATGGAGGGGATGACAGAGGAGCAGAAGGAGTACGAGGCCATGAAGCTAGTGAACATGTTTGACAAGCTGTCCAGGTATGGGGAAGCTCTGTCTCTGTCTCTGTCTGCATTAGCACCCCTGTGTCTGGGGGCTGCCTTTGCCACAGGCCTGTCTAAGCCACCACTGGAGGGAGGAGAGGGGGAGTGGGAGATAAGTGGGGAAATGGTTCCTTGAGCTGGGCCCCACTGGTGCAGGGGAGGCACCCCCAGCCCCACACACCCCTGTACTGTGAAATCCCTCCATGTGCTTCTGGGGACCCCGAGCATGGATCACTTGTGCTCCCAGCCATCCCCTCCCCATGCTGGGGCTTTATGGCCAGAGGGGTCCCCTGCTTCTCCAGAGGGGTTCTTGGTGCTGGCCTGGGGTGGTTCTGGGCTGCCTGGGCCAGGCCCCGTGTCCCTGCTGTAGCCCCGGTCCGGTTCCCTGCTGGCTGCTGCAGCGCGGTGCCTCCTTTCCCCTGTCCCGGCTGCAGGGAGCAGGTGATCCAGCCCATGGGCATCACACCCGGCGGCAGCCTGGCCCCCATGCACTGCGCCCTGCGTGATGCTGCTGAGGACCGCTCCTCGTCCGACTCGGACCTGGGGCTGGACTGAGATGGGAGCCCCCCCAGTGCTCCAGGATCCCCCAGTGCTCCAGGACCGAGCTGGGAGCCCCCCCAGTGCTCCAGGACCGAGCTGGGAGCCCCCCCAGTGCTCCAGGACCGAGCTGGGAGCCCCCCCAGTGCTCCAGGACCGAGCTGGGAGCCCCCCCCAGTGCTCCAGGACCGAGCTGGGAGCCCCCCCCCAGTGCCCCAGGACCCCCCCAGTGCTCCAGGACCGAGCTGGGAGCCCCCCCAGTGCTCCAGGACTGAGCTGCACCCGAGGCTGGTGCTGGTCCAGGCTCCTCACTGCAGGATGTGGATCCAGGCTGGAGCCCTCGGCAGCCCCTCACAGGAGCAGCTCCTGCCCAGGCCTGGCTCCACCGGGAGGGTTCCCCCCTGCACCCTTCGGCAGGAGCTCCCGGTGGGATGTGTTTGATGCAGGACAGGTGCCAGGACCGGGCTGGGGAGGGTCCTGGTCCCAGCACGGGGGTTCAGCAGCCTCCAGAGCACGGTGTGTGCATGGGGCAGCGCTGTCGGTGTGCGTGGGGCAGGGGGGGAGCTGCTCCCTGGGATCCTGGCTGGGAATGGGGGGGCTGAGCGGTGCCTCCCAGCGGTTCTGGGGTGCAGGCACCTCTGGGTGCAGGTGGGGGTGGCTGTGGCCCTGGGAGTGCAGGAGTGAGGGCAGCCGCAGGGGTGCACTGAAGGGAGCAGGTAACCCTTGTGTGAAGCTTCCCCCGTCCCCATTGCCCCCCGTCCCCATTGCCCCCGTCCCCATTGCCCCCGTCCCCATTGCCCCCGTCCGCCCCCGTCCCCGTTGCCCCCGTCCCCGTGCCCCCCCATTGCGTCCCCTTCCCCCGTCCCCATTGCCCCCGCTCCCATTGCCCCCGTTCCCATTGCCCCCATTCCCATGCAGTTCCCACCCACATGGGAAGCTCACCCATGCTGACCAGCAGCACACTGGCGCTGTGCAGGGCTCCTGTGACCTCCCAGCTCAGCCTCTCCATGGGCCTTTCCCCATCGTGAGCTCCCCAAGGGGGCTCTGTGGGCTGCCCTCGCCTGCCTTGGGGAGGTCCCACCCGGGACTGGTGCCCATCGCCCCTCGCTGTGGCTTTGGGTTTGCCCTGTCCTCGTTGGTTTTATTGCTTTTTAAAGAACTGTTTTAAAGGACCCCTTTAGTCCGAGTCGCGTCCCCGAGGTCCCGAACGCCCTCTCACGAGTGGGAATGCAGCAGTGATGCTGGAATAAAGCCACCACAACGAGCTCGTGGCACTGGTGCATGGGCTGCAGCGGCCTGAGCGGGTCAGGGGCGTTCTTTGGCTCTTTGTGCACCCAGTTCTGGTCTGACCGCTCTGAGCTCTGAGTGCATTGGGGAGGTGAAAACACAGCGTTAAACTGGGGCTACACCAGGAGCTTTGCCTGCACCACTCCCAGGTGCAACCCAGGGAGCACCCCAATGTGAAACCAAGCACTGAGGCTGGAGGGTCCTGAGCCAGCCTCAGCGCAAGCGCTGAGCACGCAGTCACTCAGGATGCTCTGGAGCAGTTGATGCTTGAGCCCACTGCTGGCCTCTGCTGTGCAATGGGCACCAACTGGAGCTTCTCACTGGAGCGGGGCTGGAGCGGGGCAATGGAGCTGGTGCAGGGCCTGGAGCCCAAGTGTGATGGGGAAGGGCTGAGGGACCTGGGGGTTCAGATGGAGCAGAGAAGGCTCAGGGGGGACCTGATGGCTGCCTCCAACTGCCTGACAGGAGGATGGAGCCAGGAGGGGCTGGGCTCTGCTCCCAAGGAACAAGGGATGGGACAAGAGGAACCGGCCTCAAGCTGCACCAGGGCAGGGTTAGATGGAGCTGAGGAACAGTTCCTGCCCCAGAAGATGCGGTGCTGCACTGGGATATGCACAGTACCTCTGCTGGGAATGAGCGGGACATCACCATGGTGCTGTGATCCCGCCTCTCCCTGGGGTGGTGCTTACAGGGGGGTAAGGAGCAGTGAGGGGAGCAGTGCTGGGGACAGTGTGTGCCACTGGGGAGATGGAGGCTACAGAAACCCCTGGGGTGAGAGCGGCAGAAGGATGGAACTCATTTATTACTGAATGGGTACCATTGCACTGATTCCAGATGTCAGCAGCTGGGGGTGCCCCCAGTGACCAGGCCCCAGGGCAGCTCGTCCCTATGAGCATCTGTCCCTATGAGCATCTGTCCCTGCATCTGAGCAATGGGCACTGTGGGCCTGCAGAGCTGGCACCTGAGGACTGGGGCCAGTGCCTGAGGAGGAGCTGCGGGAGTGGGAGATGCTCTGCCCCGGGGGGAGCTGGAAGACTTCGCTCCAGGCGCTCCTGCCCTCAGGCCTGACCCTCAGCACTTCCGGCTCTTGCTCCCTGAGAGCCCAGGGCCTGGGGGGGTCCCTGAGCTTGGCTGGCTCGGGCAGAGGGAGCCCCAGGCTGGGTGCTGGGTGCTGGAACCTCCTCTGACGGGCAGGTGCTGGTGTGCACTGGTGCGGTCCATGCTGGAGCCGGGCCGGGCTGTGGCCTGGCAGCCATGGGAGAGGGAGGTGTCCTTAGAGGTGCCAGATGAGGGGGCTGCCCCGAGCTCTCAGGTAGGAAAACCTTCACGTGGGCTCTGCTCTGGCCCCGGTGCCCCGGTGCCCTGGTGCCGGGCTGGTGGCCTCTGCCACGGCTCTGCCCGTGCTGGTGTCACCGCAGCTCCTCTGCCAGCGCCCGGCCCCTCCAGCAGCTCCTACTTGAACTTGGCGTCCAGCTAAAAGCAGAGCAACCACAGCATGAGCCGGGCCCTTCCCGCTCCCACCAGCAGCGCTTCCCAGCACCAGTCCCCACTGGGAGCAGCACTCTGGGGTTTGTGCTTTACCCCATCGGCATCGCGTCATCCCCCGGGCTCTGGGCAGCACAAGCATTAACCCAAGGGCTGGCCTCGCACACTGCACAATGCAGGAGCCTGACCCCTCCTGCACACCCCAACCCCAGCACCTGCTGCAGGTGAGAAGGACCTGAGTGCTGGACTGGAATCCCAAAGGCAGGATTGAGGAAGTCCCACAGGGAAGATGCATCTGTTGAATACAACTGGGTTCTCCCTGCAGGGAGCAGGCACCAGTGCTGGGCCCAGTGCACAAGTGGGGGCTGGCCCAGCCCAGGAGCTACAGCTGCTGCTTCACTTAAAGAAGCCTGGGAAGTGATTGATGCCAGATGAGGAAGGATCTTCCCAGCAGCCCTAAAGCAATGCAGTCATCACCCCTAGCACTGAACTTGGCATCATTAAGATCTTGCTCTCGTATCATTACTTACTGCTGGAGACCTCGGATCCCAGATGTAAGGGAAATAAAGGATCAATGGGGAAAAGGAGAGCTAAATTATCAGTGGGGAAAAATCTTGTTAACAACTGTGCTGTGGGGTGGAGGGAGCACGCCCTGGCCTGGCTGGCACCAGTGCACCTTGTCCAGTCTCACCCAGCACCAGTGGAGCCTCCCTTTGTTACTGCTGTTCCTTCTCCAGTGAGCAGGAACCCCACTAGACATGGAACCAAAGCGATGGGATGGATGTACAGGGAGAGGGAAGCTGCCCTTGCTTTAGCTCGGTAACCTCGTGTTCCTTTGCCATCAGCAGTGCCCCAGCCTCCTGGCCAGGGACAAAGCAGCTTGAACCCAGCCCAGAGCAGCAGCTCAGGCTGCTGGAGCCTTCCACAGCAGGCACTGCCTCAAGAGCACCCCTGTTCGGTGTCACTGGTGCTGAGTCCTGCTGATCCCCACACAGGCAATGGGGGATGCTCCCACCGGGCACCGCCAGCTCAGGAGCTGCACCTGCACCTGCAGAGCTCTGTTGGTGCCCTTGGGAACAAGCCAGCACCCAGAGGAAACCAATGGAAACCTTGGCAGCACCCAGGTGGGTCACAGCATCCTCCCAGCCAGCGCAGAGCCTGGCCCTTCCCCTGCGCTCCCTGTTTCACCTGAGCCCGGTGCATCCTCCCCTCCTGGACCACTGCAGCACCAGCCCATGCGCTCACCCTCCCTGCGAGGCAGCCCCGGGGTTGGGGTTGGGTTTGGGGCCTCTTGGTGCTTTTTAACCTTTCTGCACCTCTCGGGGCCCTGTGAGCGCAGGCTGCAGGCTGGGCAGTGTCTGCAGGCTGGGCAGTGGCTGCAGGCTGGGCAGTGGCTGCAGGCTGGTGGGTGGGTGGGGTGGTGCAGGCTGGGCAGTGTCTGCAGGCTGGGCAGTGGCTGCAGGCTGGGCAGTGGCTGCAGGCTGCAGGCTGGGCAGTGGCTGCAGGCTGCAGGCTGGGCAGTGGCTGCAGGCTGGGCAGTGGCTGCAGGCTGGGCAGTGGCTGCAGGCTGGGCAGTGGCTGCAGGCTGCAGGCTGGGCAGTGGCTGCAGGCTGGGCAGTGGCTGCAGGCTGCAGGCTGGGCAGTGGCTACAGGCTGGGTGAGGCTGCAGGCTGGGCAGTGGCTGCAGGCTGGGCAGTGGCTGCAGGCTGGGCAGTGGCTGCAGGCTGGGCAGTGGCTGCAGGCTGCAGGCTGGGCAGTGGCTGCAGGCTGGGGTGGGGTGGGGTGGTGGGTGGGGGGTGGTGGTGGGCAGGGGCTGCAGGCTGGGCAGTGGCTGCAGGCTGGGCAGTGGCTGCAGGTGGGCAGTGGCTCAGGCTGGGCGTGGCTGGGCAGTGGCTGCAGGCTGGGCGTGGTGCAGGTGGGCAGTGGCTCAGGCTGGGCAGTGGCTGGCAGTGGCTGCAGGCTGGGCAGGGGCTGCAGGCTGGGCAGTGGCTGCAGGCTGCAGGCTGGGCAGTAGCTGCAGGCTGGGCAGTGGCTGCAGGCTGGGCAGTGGCTGCAGGCTGGGCAGTGGCTGCAGGCTGCAGGCTGGGCAGTGGCTGCAGGCTGGGCAGTGGCTGCAGGCTGGGCAGTGGCTGCAGGCTGGGCAGTAGCTGCAGGCTCCAGGCTGGGCAGTGTCTGCAGAGCCAGTGCAGCCCCTGCAACCCCAACCTGCTCCCCCGGCACAGCTCCAGCCCCAGCCCCAGCAAGGAAGAGGCTGAGCCGTGGCTCTGAGCCCTCCCCACCTTTTCCTTCTCCTCCTGGATGAGCGCCTGCAGCTCCCGGCTCCAGCCCAGCAGCTCCACCAGCGCCTGCACCCCATGGACCACGTCCCCGAGCTGGGCCACGTCCTTGTGCCGCTGCTGCCACGCAAAGGGGCCCACGAGGTCTCTGTTGATGAGCACCCGGGGAACGGAGCCGCGCACGGCCCCGGCCAGGCTGGCAAAGGGCTCCACCTGCAAGCGGAGGGGCAGGGAGAGCATCACCCACTGAGGGCTCCAATTCACCCACCCCGAGCTGTGAGCCCTGCGTGGAACCGGTCCCCACTGTGGGTGCCTCCAGGGACCTTCCCTCGGGTACCCCAAAGCTCAGCTCCCGCTCTGCTCTCACAGAGCACAGGGCGCTTCCAGAGGGTCTCGGGTGCAGGCACCCCCTTTCCCTCCGGCCACCTCAGGTTCTACCTCCATAACCCCGCTCCTTGCCTTCTCCTCTAAGCCCCTCTGCCCCGGTCCCCCGGGCCGCAGACCTCCAGGGACGTTCCGATGACAAAGAGCAGGTCGGCCATGGGGAAGTCGGCCACGTGCAGCAGGAAGCGCTGCGGGAGCTCCTCGCCGAAGAACACGATGTCGGGTTTGATGAGCCCGGTGCAGACGGGGCAGCGAGGGACCCTGTCTGCCATCACATCCCCCTGCAGCGAGAGGGAACCACAGCCCCAAGCCTCCACCAAGCCCCCAGGCCTGAGGCAGTCACAGCCCTGCCAAGCTTCTCCTCCTCCTCCTCCCATTGACCTGGGCGATGCCCATCGGCCAGCACTCACCCTGAAGTCCTCTCCTGGGAAGCTCCTTCGACACACGGTGCAGGAGGCAGTGGCAAAGGTGCCGTGGGCTTCCACCAGCCTGTGGGGAGGGATCCCAGCAACTGGGCACAGCACATGGGAAAGGAGCAGCTCAGCACACGGTGAAGGCAGGAACTCACTGGGCCTGTCCCAGCCCTGCCTCCTGCTCTGCTGCCCAGCCTCACCCCTGCCCTGCTGCTGCAATGGGGAAGGGAGAGCTCACCCCGCTCCAGCCCGTCGATGTTCTGGGTGTAGAGGCGCAGGAGCAGCCCCTTGTCGTGCAGCAGCCTCAGGAAGTAGTGGGCATAGTTGGGTCTGTAGTTGCCGGGGTAGAGCTCCTTGGCCAGAGTGAAAAAGGGCTTGGGGTTGATACAGAAATAGGTGAGCTCAAAGATGGCCTCTGGGTAGGGGAGGTTGTACTGCTCCAGGTTACTGTAGAGCCCGCTCCCCGGGGACCTGCAGAGGGGAGAGGGGCTGCAGTCAGGGTGCAGAAGGGATGAGGCAGTGACAGTGGGGATGTGCTCTGCTTTGGAGCCAGGCTGGGAGAGCTGGGCTGGGGCAGCCTGGAGAAGAGAAGGCTCCTGAAGGGGAGACCTGAGAGCAGCTCCAGTGCCTAAAGGGGCTGCAGGAAACCTGGAGAGGGGCTTGGGACAAGGGCCTGTAGGGACAGGCCAAGGGGAATGGCTTGAACCTGCCCGAGGGGAGACTGAGCTGAGCTCTTAGGCAGAAGCTCTTCCCTGTGAGGGTGCTGAGGCGCTGGCACAGGGTGCCCAGAGAAGCTGTGGCTGCCCCATCCCTGGCAGTGCTCAAGGCCAGGTTGGACACAGGGGCTTGGAGCAAGCTGCTCCAGTGGAAGGGGTCCCTGCCCTGGCAGGGGTTGGAGCTGGAGGAGCTTTAAGGCCTGGCACAGAAAAGCAAAGCAGGAGGGCGAGAGTGGCAGGGACCAGGGGACCAGCACCGAGCTGAGGTCTCGTCTCTTCCAGCACTGAGGGAATTCCTGGAGGCGGTACCTGAAGTCCGGGATGCCGCTGGGGGTGCTGATCCCAGCTCCAGCCATCACCACCACCCGGTGACATTCCTTGCTCCGCATGAGCTCCGCCACATCCCGCAGGGTGAGCCGCTGCCTCCCTCCGTCACCTCCGCACCGGCCCAGCCCCAGGACGGCTCCGGCGGCCGCAGACAGGGAGAGGAGCCTTGACCCCGGGATCCTGCTGGGAACAGGGCAAGCAGAGCCCGGGCTGGCAGCGGCTCAGCTGGAAACGGCCCTGGCGCTTCGGTCCGCCCGCCCGAGCCCGGGGCCGGTACTGCCGTTGCGCTCCATGCGGACCTCAAATCCATCCCCGGTACCCGGGAGCGCGGTGGGCGCGGGGCTGCGGAGCAGCCGCGCTGGGGCTCCCCGGTTGATCTGCGCTGCGCGGGGGGTACGGGGCTGAGTGCCAGGGGTCCCCGCAGGGTGATGCTGTCCCCGGTGATGCTGTGCCCTGCTCCCCATGCCCGGTGCCAGGGGAGCCGCCGGTCAGCACCGGGGCTGAACCGTCCCTGCCGGCGCCTGATGGGCGAGGGGCAGGCGGGGGAAGCCCCGCCGGGACCCCGTTAACGCCGCGGCGCTGCCCCATTGACCCGGAGGGGATCTCCTCGGGCCCGCGCCCCCACCCCAAGGGCCCGGCTCGGCCTCCCCGTACCTGCGAGCAGCGGGGCCCGCGGCGCTGAGCGGGATCCGGGCCGGGCCGCGCTCCCGCAGGCTCCGCCAGGCTGCAAGGGAAAAACCGGTGAGGGAGGGACCCGCAGCGCCCCCGCACCCCCCTCGCACCCCCCTCGCACCCCCCCCCCCCGCTCTCACCGGCCGCCAGCAGCCCCCGCCGCGCCCCGCGCTCCATGGCCGCGCTTCCCGCCCCGCGCTACCGCAGTGCCCCGAGGAGGAGCGCGGAGCCGCCGCCGCCTCCCGGCCCGGCCCTGCCCGGCCCCGCTGCGGGCCCCGCTCGGAGCCGGTGCGGGGGATGCGGGGGGGCCCTGATGGGGTGGTTGGGGGGGGATTGGGGTGCGCGACGCGTTGCCATGGTTACAGCGGGGCCCGGGGGGGGGGGTCACCGCGGAGCCCTACGGTACCCGGCATGCCCCGCGCGGGCCGGAAGTGAGTGTGCAGCTCCGGAGCGCGGCCTGGGCCGGGGCTGGTGCCGGTGCCGCCGCCGCCATGAAGGACGTGCCGGGGTTCCTGCAGCAGAGCCAGAGCCAGAGCGCGGGCCCGGGGCAGGCCGCGGTGTGGCACCGCCTCGAGGAGCTCTACAACAAGAAGTGAGTGCGGGGCCCGGCGGGCGCGGGGCTGGTGGCCGCGTTACCCCCGGTTCGTGCCCTCGGGGGGGGTCTGGGGCAGCGGGGAGCGTTCGGGCTTTGTCCGCGTGGGTAACGGCGGGACGGGGATGTCGGGATGGGAACGTAGGGATGGGAACGTTGGTGTGGGAATGTTGGGATGGGAATGTCGGGTGTGGGAATGTCGGGACAGGGATGTTGGGATGGGGATGTCGGGACAGGGATGTTGGGATGGGGATGTCGGGGCAGGGATGTTGGGATGGGGATGTCGGGACAGGGATGTCGGGATGGGAACGTTGGAACAGGGATGTCGGAAATGGGAATGTCGGGACAGGGGTGTCGGGATGGGAACGTCGCGTGTGGGAATGTCGGGATGGGAATGTCGGGACAGGGATGTGGGGATGCGAATGTCGGGAGAGGAATGTCGGGACAGGGATGTTGGGATGGGAATGTTGGGACAGGGATGTTGGGATGGGAATGCCGGGTGTGGGAATGTCGGGATGGGGATGTTGGAATGGGAATGTCGGGATGGGGATGTCGGGTGTGGGAATGTGGGGATAGGGATGTTGGGATGGGAATGTCGGGACGGGGATGTTGGGATGGGAATGTCAGGACAGGGATGTTGGGAATGTCGGGTGTGGGAATGTCGGGATGGGGATGTCGGGTGTGGGAATGTCGGAACAGGGATGTTGGGATGGGGATGTCGGGTGTGGGAATGTCGGAACAGGGATGTTGGGATGGGGATGTCGGGTGTGGGAATGTCGGGACGGGGATGTTGGGATGGGAATGTCGGGTGTGGGAATGTCGGGACAGGGATGTTGGGAATGTCAGGTGTGGGAATGTCGGGATGGAATGTTGGGGTGGGAATGTCGGGACAGGGATGTTGGGAATGTCAGGTGTGGGAATGTCGGGATGGGGATGTCGGGACAGGGATGTTGGGATGGGAATGCCGAGTGTGGGAATGTCAGGACGGGGATGTTGGGATGGGAATGTCAGGACAGGGATGTTGGGATGGGAATGCCGGGTGTGGGGCTCGGAGCCGGTGCAGGGCCCCAGCTCAGGGGGTGGTTCCCGTTCCCGCAGGCTCTGGCACCAGCTGACCCTGCAGGTCCTGGACTTCGTGCAGGACCCCTGCTTCGCCCAAGGGGATGGACTCATCAAGGTGAGGCCGTAGCGAAGGCAAAGGGCGGTGGTGCCGGCGCGGTGAACCCGGCTGTGCCAGCCCCGCTGGGCTGGGTGAATGCGGTTCCGGGTGGGAGCGTGCAGGCTGCGGGGCCGTGGAGACTGGCCGGGGTTGAAGGTGGGAGCATCAGAAGGTGGAAACGGCTCCGTAACCTCATTCACTGGAGGGGCTTGGGGGGGCTGCAGGGGGAGCCTTTTCCTTCCCTTTTTGTTACAGGGGGTTTGCAGCCACACGTGGGGATGGGTTGGGGGGGGTCACGAATGCTTTGGGTATTTGAGAGGTTGGGAACGCTCAGCACAGTCACATCTGGCCTGGGTGCTGCAAGGAGGCTTTGTGGCTCAGCACAGTCACATCTGGCCTGGGTGCTGCAAGGGGGCTTTGTGGCTCAGCACAGTCACATCTGGCCTGGGTGCTGCAAGGGGGCTTTGTGGCTCAGCACAGTCACATCAGCCTGGGTGCTGCAAGGGGGCTTTGTGGCTCAGCACAGTCACATCTGGCCTGGGTGCTGCAAGGGGGCTTTGTGGCTCAGTGCAGTCACATCAGGCCTGGGTGCTGCAAGGGGGCTTTGTGGCTCAGCACAGTCACATCTGGCCTGGGTGCTGCAAGGGGGCTTTGTGGCTCAGCACAGTCACATCAGCCTGGGTGCTGCAAGGGGGCTTTGTGGCTCAGCACAGTCACATCTGGCCTGGGTGCTGCAAGGAGGCTCTGTGGCTCAGCACAGTCACATCAGCCTGGGTGCTGCAAGGGGGCTTTGTGGCTCAGTGCAGTCACATCAGGCCTGGGTGCTGCAAGGAGGCTCTGTGGCTCAGCACAGTCACATCAGGCCTGGGTGCTGCAAGGGGGCTTTGTGGCTCAGCACAGTCACATCTGGCCTGGGTGCTGCAAGGGGGCTTTGTGGCTCAGCACAGTCACATCAGCCTGGGTGCTGCAAGGGGGCTTTGTGGCTCAGCACAGTCACATCTGGCCTGGGTGCTGCAAGGGGGCTTTGTGGCTCAGCGCAGTCACATCAGCCTGGGTGCTGCAAGGGGGCTTTGTGGCTCAGCACAGTCACATCTGGCCTGGGTGCTGCAAGGGGGCTTTGTGGCTCAGCACAGTCACATCAGCCTGGGTGCTGCAAGGGGGCTTTGTGGCTCAGCACAGTCACATCTGGCTGGGTGCTGCAAGGGGGCTTTGTGGCTCAGCACAGTTCAGTCACATCTGGCCTGGGTGCTGCAAGGGGGCTTTGTGGCTCAGCACAGTCACATCAGCCTGGGTGCTGCAAGGGGGCTTTGTGGCTCAGCACAGTCACATCTGGCCTGGGTGCTGCAAGGGGGCTTTGTGGCTCAGCACAGTCACATCAGGCCTGGGTGCTGCAAGGGGGCTTTGTGGCTCAGCACAGTCACATCTGGCCTGGGTGCTGCAAGGGGGCTTTGTGGCTCAGCACAGTCACATCTGGCTGGGTGCTGCAAGGGGCTTTGTGGCTCAGCACAGTCACATCAGCCTGGGTGCTGCAAGGGGGCTTTGTGGCTCAGCACAGTCACATCGGCCTGGGTGCTGCAAGGGGCTTGTGGCTCAGCACAGTCACATCAGCCTGGGTGCTGCAAGGAGGCTCTGTGGCTCAGCACAGTCACATCAGCCTGGGTGCTGCAAGGGGGCTCTGTGGCTCAGTGCAGTCACATCAGGCCTGGGTGCTGCAAGGAGGCTTTGTGGCTCAGCACAGTCACATCTGGCCTGGGTGCTGCAAGGAGGCTTTGTGGGCTCGGGTTGAAATGCGGTGTCCCAGGAGATAGTTATTTCCATGACAAAGAGCCGAGGATCTGTAGAGCCTCTCTGCAATGTGTGCAGGGAGCACTGGGAAAGCCTTGGCCCTGTGCCTGTTGTACAGCAGAGGCCAGCCTAGAGCAGGAGGTGCTGGATGCGGTGAGTCCTGGAGCTCCCCCTGCAAGCAGGAGGAGGCTGCAGGGACAGAGCTGGCTGAAATGAGCAGGTTTTGGCTCCTGGGGTCTGTACAGAGCACACATCCCTGTCGGATGCCCTCTGCTTTGTTGGGAAGATGGAGCAGGGTGGAAGTGGGTGTTGGAGGGGACCTGAAGGCCCCTCTTGCCCTCACTGGTGCTGTCTTTGTGCCTGCAGCTCTATGAGAACTTCATCAGCGAGTTTGAGCACAGGTGAGTGTGGTTCCTGGAGCCCTCAGGCCCCTCCTGCTGCCGGGCACGGCTCTGACAGTGAGCTTTGTGTTCCAGGGTGAACCCCCTGTCCCTGGTGGAGATCATCCTCCATGTGGTCAGGCAGATGACAGGTAAGCGTCCTCGCCTCCTGCTTGCAGTGCTTGTGACAACGGATGCTGGTGAAGGTACCAGTTAATAGTAACAGCCATTAACTGGTTAACAGCAACAGCTAAACCTTCAGCATTAGCCTCTTGTGCTGCTGGTGTATTGAAAGGGGGGGACATCAACTCAGGAAGTGTGATTGCTGCTACATGGAGCAGCGGCTCTGCTCTTTGCTGGAGGAAAGGCTGGTGAGCAGCAAGCTTGGGCTGCAGAGAGCAGCACCTTTGGGCAGTAAACTACAGCAAACCCCTTCCAGTCTTGAGGAGTCCAGTGTCTGTAGGCTGAGGTTGAGTTCCAGCAGGAATTCCTGATATTGCTGCTTTCCCCTGTGCTTCAGATCCCAGCGTGGCCCTTACTTTCCTGGAAAAGACTCGGGAAAAGGTATGTTTGCAGCTGCTCTTTCTGGCACTTCACCTGCAGGGATCATTTCCCATGTGGGTGTTTGTGGTGCAGCTGAGGGAGGAGGATGTGTGTGTGTTGAACCCATGCTGCAGGATAGCACAGCAGCTCTGCGGTGCAGTGCAGCAGCACGTTACCAGCTGCAGCAGAGCCTGGGCTGATGCAGCCTGGCCCCTTGGCTGCAGGGCTGGGGGCAGCTCTGAGACGTGTCTGTGCCGTGCAGGTGAAGAGCAGCGATGAAGCTGTCATCCTGTGTAAAACAGCCATTGGGGCGCTGAAGCTCAACATCGGGGACCTCCAGGTCACCAAGGTGAGGGGTGGTTTGGGGCAGTGGCACCACAGCGTGGCCGTGCCTGCGCCTGGGCTTTGGTCTTGGCTGAGATGGTGATGGATTTGCAGCTGCTGGGGTTGCCAGGGGGAGCTGCACTTCTGCCTTTCATCCCATGGGCCATGTAAAAGCACATAGAGTGCTGCTGGCCAGACCTCTGGGGTGTCAGTGAGGTCCTGATGCAGCATTTGAGGTGCT